AGTTGTTATTATTAAAGTTTGTTAATATAGTGTTAAGTTTGTTTGAGTTTTTATATATGATGTTTATATTGTATTTAGTGTTAAGTCGCCTTTGCAATATTTCACCAAAATTTTTATGGTACAATGGAATTAAGTAAAGTTAATGAATTGAAATGTAAAATAACTTAATAGGACAAAGACTACTGAAAACTAAATGCAATATCAATGTAATATATGAAAGCTCCAATAAGCTTAATACTTTGTTGACTAACTCTGGTAATTACAGCTCTCTAGATTGGATTGGTAAGCCACTTTGCGACTACCTATAATACTGTGTGGGAGATACCGGAAATACGGTCACCCAGATAACGAAAAATAACTTGTCAAACTGAAGAAGATAAAGGACCACAGACGAACAAGACAGCATGCGGCAACAAAGCATTCTGAAAAAACTAAAATTCCTCCCTCATAAGAAGGTCTTCAAAGATCGTGCATCATGCAGCAGAGAAATGCTACGCCTTCTACTAATTAGATTTTGCGAATATAGTTAAAGAGAAACAGTGGCTGAGCAGCCAGATCAAACAACCTTAATTATCAGTCGAGTCCTGCGAAAATGTCAACCGGACCAAATCATTCTAACTCTGCAAGGATTGAACTAGCCTTATCAAACCCGAGATCAGAAAACTGACTAACTACAGACATTCTCAAAAAGCACACCTTTGACTCCAGGGGTCAAAACAGCTGTAGACCATAATCAACTGCAAGAGGGAAGCCAGACCATGCTTAAGAAGGCTCATGAGAAGCGAAACGAAACGTCAATAACCCGATTGACTAACTTATTTGTTTGCGCTCTGTATAAATACGCCGTCTCCATACATTTTTTAAGTTTAAAATTTTTGTACAATATTCACCAGTGCATGTTACGTTTAGTAGGAGGGATTCAGAAAGATCTCCATCGATGTACTTTCAAGGAGAGTGAAGCTTAAAGCAAAACGGCTCGATGATTAGCTCTATCAATTGGTGGAAACTTTCCTGGTGTCCTGCTAAAATGGCTGGAAGAAAACCGAATGGAAAAAAAGAGTCTAATTAAAACTGTTATGAAACAATGTGTGTCTTTCTGATCAGTTATTTTATTCAGTTCGCAGCATAATCATGGAACCCGCAATCGGTTTTCTCGTTTTCTGAGTTTCTAGCGAGATATGTTACTGTTGGACTATTAGGGATACTGCTGCTGATTCTAAGTTAATTTTGAAAAGTACGTTCATTATTTATAAGTCTATAACTTAGACGGAACCCAGTTTTAAATTGTGTCCCCTTGGTCTAATTTATCTAAGAGCGTTCAAAATTTCTGCATCTCTACGGAGCTCAGACAACTAAAGTTGATGCGTGCGTCATGTTGTTAATCATAGCAAAAGTGTAATTGCTACCGAAAGTTTTCTGAGGGCCGGTGCAACATATATACGCTTTGCTGACGCATAAAAAATGTTGAGTAATGAAGAGAGGTACAATAATGAGCGCACAGACCGTCCAAAACAATATTTAGCCGAAAGTCGTCAGATGCATCAGGGAATTAGTGAATGATGCAATGGATTCGAGAAATTGATGAGAATGAATGATTAGATAATAAAAAATTGAAAAGTGGAACTTTCGTCGCAGAAACATCAATAGATAATAATTTCGTGAACATGATGTTCCTAACGGACAACCTGAAAATAAGAATGTCACGGAAAATGCAGTGATGGATGAACGAGCCAGTTCATTTTAAAAGGTAGGCCTAAACCGTCTCTCCCTTTAGCTAAAAAGATGGACAACCAACTCAAAAAAAAGTCGTGCAGAATGCATAATTTCTTCTGTTGAAAAATGGAAATTTCAAAACTGTAAGGTGTGGGCATGTCAGGAATCAATGATATCTGGTTAAGGGCCACCACAGAGTATCATTTTAGATTGAGGATGTTCCGAGGAAGTTTCGAGCGCAAATAAAACTGATCTGAACTAAAACTTCATTGAAATAAAAACGTGTTCAACTTTAATTTACAATAAACTAGAGACAGATTGACGAGAGCGCGGTCACTCTATAATTTAAAGCAAAATCCGCAACGATCTTGCATATCATTGTGTTGAAGAACATGCAGAAATGGCCCAATTTTCCGTGTTTGTTCACCTTTTAATGATTCTCCTGATTAGGACCGGATTCGCGGCTTGAATTCTGAAGTGGATGCAGTTTTGATTGGCTGCAAAAAAGAAAACTTATTAATTTTAAGGTACAGCACAGCTACCATTTTTGCCACTTTGAGCTCTCATGGAAGGGTTTCTATAGAATCTGTCTGCATTTCCTGAAGAAAATCCCTTCACCCGCTTCTTCGTTATGCCTTCACTAACATGGATCGATCGCTTACTGGTCAACCGCATATTTTTTTCAAAATCTCCATTCAGTGACAATACATGGAGACATGAGAGAATGATATGGCTGACGATCACGCGATTCATGCGCGTCAGTGACAGCATCAGGAAAAAGCAAGCAAATAAGATTCTTCTAAGAAAATGTAGACATGGCGGTTTCGATACTAAAGCAACACTCCCAAAAAACGCCAGGAACCGAAAAATTGTAAACCATGCTGAACCTTAAAACTAATGAAACCGTTCTTCGTATTACCCGTGAAAAGAATACACAATGATAAAAATATAATTCGTTCGACAATCTGAGTTACTCAATGTATTTTAAAGTGTTTCATATAGTCTATCTGTACTTGCTAATCAAATACTGTAAATCTAGGGAAGCAAGTAGCAGTAATTTCTACGTATTTGTTATCCTGGTAACGAAGTCTTGCGATGCTATGGTAGGTTACTTGTTTTTCTTTTTCTTTTTCTTTTTGTTTAAAATACAGTTTAATTTATAGATATCAGTTATGCTGTAATGACTGTATTGGCAGATTTCCAAATGTATTTCCCGAGCCCTAATCCTCGTTTAGAC